ATTCTTTACACCGGTAAATGGCCTGCTCGGGATTGGCAAGGCAAGAAGCAGCCTGGTGTGTTGTTGTATATGTACACATGTGCCAGAAATCTGGAAACCCTTACATTTTAGGACCCTGTGGGAACCCTATAAGCTGTAAGCCTTTTTGTCTTTCTTGATTTTTTATGATGTGGGTCCTGTTTTAGCTATGTGACTATATACATACACACCCTATGTATGAGAGCCCTGTTCTCAAATCCAACCCTAACCCAACAGCTTCCTTGATGGTGATGATATATATATATATATATATATATACACAGTATATAATATCGTATAAACATATATAAGCCACAAAACCACGGACCCGTGGAATCCCAAAGCAGCACGAACCGGATGTGAGAAAAATCACCACACAGTATACGTAAAAAACCCTCTCACCACATGTAGATATATATATGTAGATATATATGAACCTGTCTCACAAGTAAGAAAATGTTTGTTACACGTCACAGAGGTATGGGGCCAGTACAAAGGAGGGCGAACGAGCGGGAACCGACCTATGCGGAGGATATTATGGTGTCCTGGTTCAAATGGCTGGCGACTTGGATTATTATGCGAAATGGCTGGAGGTTCCACGATGGAGCAATCACAGCAAACATTGTGCTCTTTGTCGGGCCGCCTTCAAAGGACCACTAACATGGATGGACAATCGTGCAAATTCGCCGTGGCAAGCCTCGTGCCTCACCACCACCAACTGGAGATCCCACTGGAATCCATCATGCCAGCTGTATTCTTTACCTGGCTTTTCGGGACTTTGTATCACGATGGACTATATGCATTGTATGTTTTTGGGGTGGATACAGTTTTTTTAAGGCTCCGTGCTCAGCATCGTGGTCCACGATTGTTTGGGTGGGAGTATCTTGGCGAATTTGAAATACTGCGACTCCTTCATCAAGAAGTACCAGCGAGACTACGAAACCAGATACACATTCCGCCAGCGACTTCTGAAACTTACAATGATACAACCAAAAAAAGGATTCCGCAAGATGAGAGGAAGAGCTTCCGATATTCAATCTTTGGACAGTGCAATTCTTGCTCTATTCGAAGAGCAAATGGACGAGGGTATCTATCAACACAAGCAAATCCGGCTCTTTTTGCGGTTGAACCTGCAGCTGGCTGAAATATTGGAAGCTTATGGGCCACGGTACGGCTTCTTGGCTTTACCTGAGGAGCAAGCAAACCTGGCTTTCAAGCTCGGTTGCCAAATGGCACAGCTCCACAGCAGCCTGCAAGCCCACTACAAAGGGACGGGGGAGAAGCTCTTCAATCTCACAAGTAAGACACACTTCGTTTTGCATAGTCTCCTACTCAGCAGTTTTATTCATCCGTCGATGGTCTGGTGCTACAAGGGAGAGACGACGATGCATCGCCTGCAGATTCTATGGAAGAGTTGTTTGGCAGGGGTGAAGCACTGGCATGCTTCCAAAAGGCTGCCCTCAAAGAGAGGCACCTTTTGTTTCTGCGGGGCAAAGTTGGGCGATCGTGAGAGCTTCTTTCTTTTCTGTCGCGAAAAAAAAGAGTGTCTCTCTGCTATATGTGGTGCTCCTGGTCTTTTGTTTGGGCTTTTGAATCACAGTTGTCGTATATACTGGTGTAGATCTTATAAGCAATCTGCATGGATTCTCTTTGGTTAGTTTATGGCTTTGGGCCTGCGAATTTTCGGAAAAGTCCTTACTTCTGCTGTGGATCCTTTACATGTGGTGTCTGCGATTGCAGAGCAAAACAAACTCATGCCGGTGATTTTTTTAAATCCTTTACATGTGGTGTCTAGGTTTGCAGCCGCAAATATGAGTTCCATGTTTGTGTTTGCATAATGTTTTTATGTGTTTTGTCATGTTTTTAGCTCACCAGAAAATTTACGTAAATTTGGTCATTTTACACTAAATCCTTCGTTTACAGTAAATCAAGCCAAAGTGTAAAATTAGGTAAACAGCAGGGTCAGGGTAGGCATGATCAGCGCCCGACTGCTAGCCCAGGTGGAGACCCGCACACGGAGCACCGTGCCGAGCGCCAACCAATGGAAGTGCGACGCCGGCGGCAACGTCAGACCCTTCGCCGGCATCAACGTGATCTTCAGCGGCGACTTCCGGCAACTTCCTCCGCCCGAAGGAGGCTTCCTCGCCGACCTCCCCCTGAAGCTACAGGCGCCCGGCAAGACCGCGACGGGAGGCCCAGAGCGCGACCCCCTGGTGGACCACGGCCAGGCCCTCTTCTGGGAGGGCGCAGTGCAAGGAGCGACGGAGCTGCACGAGAGGATCAGATGCAAAGACGACTGGTGGAACCAGGCCCCCGAGGGAGCAATTGAGCGCAGCGACCGCACAAGCAGATTAAAACAAAAAGGCATCTAAGAGAACATCGCACACGCCCGATGCCCCCCCCCCCCCTCCGGCCAACAACACGCTCTCGGCATGCAACAAAACAAAAAAACAACGAAAAGCACTGGTACACCCTCCTTCCACCGACCCGCTCCGCAGGTCGTGGACGCGCTGCGCGATGGGATGCTGTCCGAGGACAACCACAGCTACCTCCACGGCAGGCCAGTCGAAGGTTGCACCCTCACGCGCGAAGAGCGACGCTCCAGAAACCGAGTGGTGGATGGGCCCGAAGACGCACGACTCAGAGAGCCCAAATTCGTGCACGGGCCTGTGGTCGTGCCGAACAACGACGCCAAGTACCAGATCAAAAAGGACCGCGCCAAGGCCTACGCCCGGGATGCGGGCAGCCGGCTAGTCTGGTCCGTGGCCAAAGACAAGGCCGGTGCGGAAGCGCTCCAAGCCCAGGCGTGCGACAAAGAAGCGAAGGTCCGCTGGCTGCAGTACCACGACATGCACACGGAAGGGCTCTGCGGAATGCTTCCCCTGGCCATCGGCATGCCCGTCGCGCTGACGCACCACGTGGACCGCTCCAAGAAGAAGCTGCTGAAGGGCCGCACAGGGCACGTCCACTCCTGGGTCTGGCACGCGAACGACCAACAGCCGAGCATCGTGCGCCCCGGCGGCAGTCGATAGCTGCGAGAGCACACCCCAACAACAACAACAACAACAACAACAACAACAACAACAACAACAAAAAAAAACAGGACGCGGCCGTGTGCCGCGGTCGTCTACGGCCCGTGAATTCGAGCCCCCGGCCAACGACAACAGCCCGGGGGAAAGGGGAAATCAGGGGCCCGATCCTGCACCCGCCTCCGCTTACGTAGCCGGCATCACAAGCGAGGTTCGTCAAGATCGGCAAAGCCGACTGGACCCTCAACGGCACGAAGGTGCGCGGACTCTATCCCATCCGGCCGATTTCCCGCACCTGGAAACTGGACAAAGGCCGCAAGAAGCCCGTGCTGAAAGTCAAGCGCACGCAGATCCCGCTGACCCCGGCCTTTGCAATGAAGGCCCACGTCAGTCAAGGCAAGACGCTGCCGCTCGGCCGCACACAGAAAGGATCCAAACCACACACACACACACACACACACACACACACACACACAGTAGGCGACAGTCGTGACGCCCGCCGCACAGGACGGCCGTGATGCTGGACCTGAACGTGGCCTCCAAAATTCACGCCGCCTACGGCACGGTGGTGGCGAGCCGCGTGCGCGACAGATCCGACGTGCTGATCCTGCGGCCGTTCCCACTCTGGCTCTTCCGGCGCGGCGCAACGGAGGGTCCCACGTTGCTCCTGAAAAAGCTCCGAGGCGAAGAGATCGACTGGAAGGCCATGCACGAAGCACGCTGGCCGAGGGCCCGGTGCCAAACATGCAAGGAGCTGAAGAGCTGGGACCTCTTCACGCACGCACAGGGGGAGCTGCAGCGGGCCAACCGCGGCGGCCAATGCATGCCGTGCGAAAAGCTTGGAGCCGTCAACAGCAAAGGACCCCTGAAACGAAGCATCAACGCACAGAAAGCCCTGGCCCGGAGCCTCCCGTGCAACCGCTGCCAGTTGATCAAAGTGGAAGAGGCGTTTCCAAGAGCGCAAGTAGCCCAGGCAAACGCAGACACGAAGCGCCAGTGCTCAGAATGCCGGCTCGCCGCGACCCAGCTGAACTGAACCAGCTGCAACAAACGGAAGCCAGCCACAGACTTCAGCCTCCAGATGCGAACCATGCCGGACAACGCCCTCGCCTGCATCGACTGTCAGGAAAAGCTCTCCAACAAAGCCAAGCGCCTGCGCACGGGCTGGTTCATCTGCAGAGGCTGCAAAGAAAGCTTCCCCCAGCAAGCAGCCGCAGAACAGTCCGTCGACGGAAGGCACTGCCTGAACTGTTCCAGGCGCACAAACAGGCAGACGGGATGGATGACATGCACAACGAGAAACTGCCGAGAGAAGTTCCAAAGCACGGAGAGAGGGCCGTGCCCGAAATGCAGACCCCGCCAACGCCCCGCACGGCGCAGCAAGACCAGCAAAGACTGAGCGGAAGCCGCCTCTCAGGTGAGGCAGCCATACCGGTTTCACGCCCCGTCCAGCACGGCCGCGCGCCCGGCGCAGAGAGGAAAAAAGGGCCGATCAGAGACGCGCACATGCAATGAAGCGCAGTCACAGGCACGTTATACCTGACATGGACAGGTCTCCTGCAGAGGGTGAGCTGGAGAGACGCTCCGTCAGCCGCCCCCTGCACCCCCCCCCCCACCCACCCCCACTCGCGCCGGTCCGTCCCGACCAGAGCAACTGTGAAGGCACAACTCGCAGAGCAAGGCCGTCTGGCTCAAGCACACACCCATGCATGCTGCTCCGCACCCACTGCCGCAACGCACGAGCCGTCAGTCATCGCAGAAACACAGCAACAGAAGCCGAGGTAGGAGAAGACACCACACGGCGCGCCCGGGACCCTCGCAAAGCCGTACCAGCAAAGGCACTGCAGTCGAAAAGCACGAAGCCGACCAGAGAGCCACAGCAAAAGCATCAGAGGATAAGACCCACCACACAGAAGGGGCAGCAGCAAGTAAGAGGAGTGGCCGCCAAGCGCCATGGCACCGCGGACAAGCAGCCGCGGCGCCAAACGCCGCGCAAAGCCCAAGGGGCAGCGGCTCGAGCAACGCCGCCAACTGGAACAGCGATACTCAGCCGTGCTGGCAAACAAGCCCGCCGCACAGATTCTGCTGCCGAACCCACACGACAGGAACACAAGCGCGGCCCACTGGCGACTCGAGATTTCGCGAGCAACGCGCCTGCTGGACCTGCTCCAAGAGCCCGACCACGCCCAGATACAAGAAGCCCTCAACACGGCATATGCCGACAGCTTCCAGGACGAAGACGAGTACCTGAAACAAGACATGCCCAAGACTGAATCGCCGGAACTGGAAAGCACCGCATGGGTCGAGGCCTGCCTCGAGCGGCTCCACGCCATCGTCATCATAACTCGGATGAAGCACAAGATCGAGCAGCTCAGCACGCCGGAAAGCCAAGATCACCCATGGGAGGCGCGCGTACGGCATCGCCAGACAGCACTCCATCGCTTGTTCCAGGCACATGCCACGCCAGTCCACCTTCACGACCCATTCCAGCGCCTCTTACCCCGGCCGGAAGACGAGTCCATCAGCAAGCGCGCCTGGGAGGACTGGCTGTTCGCCGTTCGACAGCTACTCCGACCCGTACCTCAGGGAGACCGCATTGGATCGCACAGCTTCGTGCTGCACCACTTCGACGCAGCACTACGACGGGATCCCAGGCTGCGCAAGGCGCTACCGCAACCAGAGACCGCCACGGACACGAGGATGGACGCATGGCAACACGCCTTCCTCGGCGCAGTGGAGGCCATTGTCACAGACAACCAAAGTGCGGCTCAAGAGAACAGGCAAGCAGTACGAGCACGAGGGACTCCTCAGACTGCGAGTCCCACAGCAGCAACAACGACAGAAAGAGCAAGCACCGTCATGAAAAGAACAACCGTGCCCCCAAACATCGAGGCACGGCGGCGCGAGCAAAAGACGGCACACAGGAAGTGCACAACGAAGACATGCAGCACAGCGAGCCAAGCCAATGCAAACACCACTGAGAGCCGGGCTCTAGCAAGTGTCCCCCCACCGAAGATTGCTGGGAGAGAGCCGGAAGACGAGAGGCCAAGCGCTGTACAGACAATCCGCTGCCGCTACCGCCCGGAGAGCAAAAGCCCGCCTGCACATCAACAGCCACCAAAGATCGAAGCTGAACACTTGAGATGAACACGCACAAGTAATGGAACCCTTGCGCCCCGACACCTGCCTGCCTACATGCAAGACCTAAAGAAAAAGACCGACCCACCACCGCGCACCCCCCCCCTCCCCCGCGATTCCGCAGCACGCTTTCGGCTCAGAAGAAGATCAAGCACAAGAAAGAACATGCGAACCGCGGAGGTGCGCTGAAAGCCAGACGGAGACGCACGGAACACGGCCGCCCGTCCGCTCCTCTGAAGCTCCCAGGTCAGAACATGCAACTGAAAGGCTCAGACACCGTAGACAGACATGACGGACAATCCAGTCTGATAGCTCGCCATGTATGGAAGCGATAAATCCAAGGCCCTGGCCACACAGAACGAAGCCCAGAGCATCCGAGTACTGCACTGTCCACACAGAATGAAGCCCGGACCATCCGAGTACCGCACTGGCCACACAGAATGAAGCTCAGAGCATCCGAGTACTGCACTGGCCCCACAGGATGCAGCCCAGAGCATCCGAGTATTGCCCTGACCATGCACAACGAAGAGCATCCAAGTACTGCACTGGCCACACAGAACCAAGCCAAGAGCATCCGAGTACTGCACTGGCCACACAGAATGAAGCCCAGAGCATCCGAGAACGGCACTGGCCCCACAGAATGGAGCCGAGAGCATCCCAGTACTGCACTGGCCACACAGAACCAAGCCCAGAGCAGCCGAGTACTGCACTGGCCACACAGAACCAAGCCCAGGGAATCCGAGTACTGCCATGGCCATCCACAACGAAGAGCATCCGAGTACTGCACTGGCCGCACGGAAGACCCTCTTGCAGGCTCTTAGAGGGCTGTAGCCCACTCTTAAACCTCTGAGAGAGCAGACAAAGAGCCTCTGTGGGCTGGGGAAAATCTCACCAGCACCCTTCAGAGCCTATGAGAAAGAAGCAAAAGCTCCTCTGTGGGCTGGGGAAGACCCTCTTGGAGGCTCTGAGAGGGCTGTAGCACAGTGCCAAGACCCCTCTTAAAGCCTCTGAGAGAGGCTCTTAAAGCCTCTGAGAAAGCAGCAAAAGCTCCTCTGTGGGCTGGGGAAGACCTTCTTAGAGGCTCCGAGCACTGCCAAGACCCCTCTTAGAGCCTCTGAGAGAGCAGACCAGATGCTCTGTGGGCTGGGAACCCTTCTTAGAGCCTCTGAGAGAGGCTCTTAGAGCCTCAGCGAGAGCTCTCCAGAGACCAAATGAAAGGCCTTCACCACCTTGCTCTCCCTTCTTAGACCCTCTGAGAAAAGCTCTTAGAGCCTCTGAGAGACCTCTCCAGGGTCCAAATGAAAGGCTTTCACCACCTTGCTCTCGTCGCCCAAAGCCTTCTCCCGTGCCAGGAATCGTTTGACCTGCTTATTTGCCGTTTCCAGCATCTGCTTAGGGCTGGGGAAGACCCTCTGAAAGGCTCTGAGAGGGCTGTAGCCCACTGCCAAGACCCCTCTTGGAGCAGCTTAGTGAGTCTCTGAAAGCCTCTGAGAGAGCAGCAAGGTGCGCTCTGTGGGATGGGGAAGACCCTCCGAGTACTGCACTGGCCACACAGAATGAAGCCCAGGACATCCGAGTACTGCGCTGGCCACACAGAAAATGAAGCCCAGAGCATCCGAATACTGCACTGGCCGCGTAGACCCAAGCCCAGAGCATCCGAGTACTGCACTGGCCATACAGAATGAAGCCCAGAGCATCCGAGTATTGCGAAGGCCACACAGAATGGAGCCCAGGGCACTCGAGTACTGCACCGGCCATGCACAACGAAGAGCATCCGAGTACAGCCCAGAGCATCCGAGTACTGCACTGGACACACAGAATGAAGCCCAAAGCATCCGAAGACTGCACTGGCCACACAGAATGAAGCCCAGAACCTCCGAGTACCGCGCTGGCCACACAGAATGAAGCCCAGAGCATCCGAATACTGCACTGGCCGCGCAGAACCAAGCCCAGAGCATCCGAGTACTGCACTGGCCATAGAGAATGAAGCCCAGAGCATCCGAGTATTGCGATGACCACACAGAATGAAGCCCAGAGCATAAAGGGTGCACGCAGGGCGCTCGATAGGCACTCCTACCATACGAACGGGTTAAGGTGCCCTGAAATCTTAGGGTTGGAGGGATAGGAAAGGTGGGGTGGTACAGGACTCCCAAAGCATGCAACTTTTTGAAAAAAAAAGCCCAGAGAGGGCTGTGGTGCCCTTAGCTGTGGGGCCCTTGGGTAAGGAAGACCAGAGAGGGCTGGTGTGGCCCTGGCTAAGGAAGCCTACTATTAGCTATTGTAATTGACGAAATCTTGATTTCCTTAGGACTTCTCCATATAATTACGATTATCATTTCCCCCATAATATTTGTTGAATGTTGGAATATTTATGCGTGCTTATGTATGAGATTCATTCGCTTAAGGGCGCGAGATTAGGTCTTCTCGTGGGTGCTAGTGAAGCCAGAAATAGAGTGAAAGGCTTCTCCTGTGTGGTCTTGGGTAAGGAAGCCCAGAGAGGGCTGTGGTGCCCTTGGGCCCAGAGAGGGCTGTTGTGCCCTTGGGTACGGAAGCCCAGAGAGGGCTGTGGTGCCCTTCAGGAAGGAAGCCCAGAAAGGGCTGTGGTGCCCTTGGACCCAGAGAGGGCTGTGGTGCCCTTAGGAAAGGAAACCCAGAGAGGGCCGCTTGGGTAAGAAAGCCCAGAGAAAGCTGTGGTGGCCTTAGGCCCAGAGAGGGCTGTGGTGCCCTTGCGTAAGCAAGAGAGGGCCGTGGTGCACTTGGGCCCAGAGAGGGTTGTGGTGCCCTTGGGTGAGGAAGCCCAGAGAGGGCTGTGGTGCCCTTGGGCCCAGAAAGGATTGTGGTGCCGTTGGGTAAAGAAGCCCAGAGAGGGCTGCTTGGATAAGGAAGCCCAGAGAGGGCTGTGGTGCCCTTGAGCCAAGAGAGGGCTGTGGTGCCCTTGGGTAGAAAGCCCAGAGAAGGCTGTAGTGAACTTGGGCCCAGAGAGGGCTGTGGTGCCCTTGAGTAAGGAAGACCAGAG